TAATAATCAACAAGCAAAATTGTCTTTGTTGCAGGTCTGAAAACCATAGGACAAATTCAGCCCATACACTGATTAGTCATTTTTTAGGAATCCACGATTTTTTTGTAAATAGTGTCAAAATTTGTGGATTGGAAAAGAGGAGAAGGGTTTGAGGACACATTTTTGTAGGCATTTTGTGCGAGGAGAGATATTCGGTGAGTAATGGGAATAATTTGGAATTTTTCATAAAGGAGATTGTTAGAAGGGTTGAATAGCGGATTTCTGAGGTTTCGAACTTTGGATATTATTCTAATTATTGATCTTTCTGCTACTTCTAGATGCAATGTCGCCTTTTTGCTGATATTGAGGAAGATGGGAGCTCCATAATCAAGAATTGATCTGCAAATTGTTTTATAAATATGCATCGTACATTTAAAATTTATCCCAGTATTTTTGTAAGTGAGACATCTAAATTGCTTTGCACTTTCTTTGACTTTCATTTTAACCTTTTTCGTGTGGATGTCAAATTTTTTAATTAAACAATAATTTAATGCAAGAATTCGTTGGATGTACCAAAGTATTAGTTATCCTGATATTCGGAGAATTTTCAGATAATCTATGGAATGGTAGAAGTAATTGCGATTTTCGAGGGTTTATGTAAATTTTGAAGATTTTGAACCAGCTTGTAAGCTGAATTGGTGGATGTAACAGACATCCACAAAAACATTGAATAGCGTAGGTGAAAGAAGAGAACCTTGCGGAACCCCCTGTTTTGGGTAGAATACGTTGGAGGTAGTACCATTTACTCTTACACATAAAGAGCGATTGAGTAAGAAATCTTCAATCAGAGAGGACATTCATTTTTGTCAGTTTGTGTAACAAGGCCTTGTGCCATACCGAATCAAACGCTTTTTTGACGTCCAGACAAAGAATTGCTGTTTTGCCGTTTTTAAATTTACACGTAGAAATGTTGGATGTTAATATTGATTGTGGGTAAATAGTAGATATTTTCGATTTAAAACCAAATTGATGAGACGGAATGTGCCAATCAACATGAACCAACAACTTACTCTTTAATATTGTTTCGAAATTCTTTCCAATAACGGGTAGAAGTGTTATCAGTCTGTAGCCACTCGGAGACTTTAGGTTTTCTCCTTTTTTAGGAAGATAAATCACTACTCCGTTTTCCATTCAGGTGGAAAAAAATACTTGGAAATTGTGTATATCAATAATCGATTGTAGAGTCATACGTGAGAATAATTCTGTGATTTGTGATTGGTACACCAAACCGACATATTCGGTACGTTACATAAACTATTTCTCCTCACATTCATTTAACCATAAAATTAATACCTTACGTGGTATGAAGAATAGAGTACTAAGAATTTGTGATGACAGGTTTCAATACAACGCACTGTTAAAGCTAAAAAGGATTTTTATTGGCAACAGTTTTCCTAAGCACTTAGTTAACAAGATTCTTTTCTCTTCTTCCAATAACATCTCTCAACCAACTGTTAACAGTATTTTTGATATACCACCTACCAGACAATCTAAATTTAGTAAAATTATGAAAATCCCAAAGATGTCTGATAAAATTAAAAAAATAATTGGACCGCATCTACCACCTGATAGAAAAATAGTGGATAGGTTCTTGTTATAGTAGCATCAAAGATAAAGATCCCGTGATGTACAAATCTAATATCATCTATCGTGTCAATTATAATGAGTGTAATGGTTGTTACATTGGTGTCACCCGTCAATGGCTAAAAAACAGGATTAGTTCACATAGGAGTGATTTTAAAACGAAAAAAACTCACTGTGCTTTGGCCAGTCATAGAATAAACTTTAACCATACTTTTGATTTTGATAATGTGTCGATAGTTAATGGTGATCCTAATTATTACGGTAGATTATTTTTGGAAATGTACCACATTAATATCACTGATAATACGGTCAATTTTAAAAGAGATACAAATAATTTAAGTATTTTTTACTCGTATTTATTTCATTGGGAAAAGGGGAGAAGGGAAAGAGTATTGAGGGACAACACCAACGTTAGTAATTCATTAATTTTTTAAATAAAAATATAAAAAGAAAGATATACATATATATAAAATATGTTTTTCGACAGTATTGTTGTGATTTTGTCTATCGCGCAGTCTCTAAAAATAAAAATAAAAATATTTTTAAAAACTGGTTTCTTCGCCATGTTCAGTCATCATAAGATTTTTACTTTTGTAACGTCAGTTATTTTAGTTTGTATTTTAAGTGTCCTAATTTTAATTTATTAATTTGAATCACCCTTTTGTGGGTTTTAATGATGCTATGTTTCTTGGTGGACCATTGAAATGTTCTGCAATTGTGCCGTTTATCAACTAACCTGTAAGTTTCTTCCTTTTTATGTAAGCCATTGATAGTTTAAGTGTTAATTTTGATACATTTGTTCACAGTTTTTGCCTGTAGAAGAAACAATTAGTTTCGAAATATAGCAAAGAAAAATTTTGTTCTCTTTATATCAATAATGTAATCGTGCACCTTTTCATCTAACTGTATAATCATTTTTTTAGAAATGTTGTCATATCCCGGTGCCGAGATTTTACTTTATGCTATCACTTGCCATTATTCTTCTTCGCTTATACGTATATCTTCGGTAGTTTCAAATGAACTTTGACGATAGTCATCATACCAGTGCTCCGCCTCCTGAAACTTGACTCGATTAAATTCATCATCCTCTAAAAATTCAAAACATTTTCAAGATAACCAACCTGTATCAGGGCTATGTCTTCGTCCGTGGTATGAATGGTATCGGAAATATTACTTCTTTCATGTCGCAAGCGTTGAAATTATATTTGATGGTGGGGTTAACTGAAACGTTCGATTGGGAATATATTCCCAAATCAATCCCTAGGTGGTCGGAACCAAGGTCACAACTCGTTTCAACATCATATATGAGAGGGAACATCTTAGGTGAGCATAGAAATAAATCTGGAGTCGTACAATTACGTTCCATAATAAATGTGGGCGACGTATGAATTCTTTGGAATCCTGATTGAGACAGAAAGTTGTTAATATGGTTGCGTTTTAAAATGTTATGGTTGAAATCACCAATAATGATAGTATTCGGGTATAGTGACGCTTTAATAAAAATTGTGTCGTCAATAGCGCAGTTAGCATGGATGTAAACAAGAAAAATATGCAGT